ACTCCCCTAGTGTGTCACCCCCCTAGTGTGTCACCCCCCCGATGTGTCACCCCCCCGATGTGTCACCCCCCTAGTGTGTCACCCCGCCTGGTGTGTCACCCCACTGAGCCCCTGCCATCCCCTCTGCCTGCCTTCCCTGCCAGACTGAGAGCACAGGAGAGAAGGGGCGTGCTGTGCTGGGGTGACGCTGTCCCTCTTGTCAGCAGAGCACAGAGTGGAACAACAGTGATGCCTGATGGCTTTTGCCACCACTTGTCCCCATTTCTCCGTGGTGTGGCTGCATGTGCATCTGGCTTTTCTGAAGGCAGTGGCTGCAGCCAGGGATCTCTCAGGCCTGACCCTGTCCTTTGACTACCACAACCACTTGCAACTCAGCCGTCCAAGCCCTGCCAGGTTTCTTTTGGCAGCAATCCAGGACCCTCTGCCCAGGGAGCAAACATTTGCCATGAACTTTCGAGCAAACCGGTTCTGCTCCCTGTCATCTGGCCCCATGTGTGGAGCATACCTTCAGAAGGAAAGTCTGCATGGGATCTTTTTCCACATTGTAGGTGAACATCCCCAGGAGAGTTTCCTCTTCTCTGTCTGCCTCCACTCCCTTGGGAGCAAAGCACAAGGAGAGTGAGTCGGGCTCATCCGGGCAAAGAGGGATTGTACAGACTGGGTCAGCCCTCTTATGTACCCAGCCTCTCGTAGGGCTCTGGCAGTAGTCTGGCATTGGTTAGGGTAGAGCTCAGTCTCTGCCTTGTGTTTTGATCAAGAACTCTTAGGTTCTTGGCCAGAACAAGTCTTAAGAAGGATGGACCTCTCGAGCCCTTGAGCTTGCAGTGCTCAAAGAAGTGCAGGGCACAAAGCTCAGAGGATGCACAAAAGCAAGCAAGACCTTGCCCTGACCTCCCCCTAGGGCCAGATCCCCACCAGAAGCACCCAGCAGACTTACAAAGACAGCAATGTCTTTGGGGGCACTGAAGATGGTCCCACTTGGCGAGGCATCTTTGGTGATGTGCTGCACTGTGATGGCAGTCAGGTAGACTCGTGCTGGCAACCTGATGACAACCTGGCCCTGATGCCCTTTGAAAGCCCAGCAGTTTCCTGGGAAAACATTTGGCTGCAACAGAATGCAAGAGCAATGACTTCTGGGCCAACACAACTGCCCATGTAGCTTGAAGCATTGGGGCTGACGTGTGTGTGTGCTCTGTTTCAGCTTGAAAAAAGGGCCATGTGAGGAAATGGACAGAAGCAGAAGGACTTCCCTGCCTGCCAAAGTGGGCCCAGCATGGCAGAACAGAGAACAGTGGTTAGGAAACCATCCCTCTCAAGGACAAGCAGAAACACCTCTGCCCAGGGACTCTGTAGGGCATCCCTCCTCCTCCCACCTCCCACCCTGGAAATCAGCTCTTAGGGCTGACAGGGGTCACCAGGTAGAAGGGAATCCTTTCACCAGCTGTGGCTGAGTGTAAGGATTGTGGGCAGTGTAAGGATTGTGAGGACTGTGGGCAGAATGCAGCAGTACAGCTCAGTCTGGTTCCACTCCCTCCAGAGAGGAACCACTGCTTCTCAGCAAGCCCAGCCCTGTGTTCCACCTTTGGTTTCAGGAATCTAAATCTACACTGTGGGCTTGACCACTACCCCTGGGCTGAGAGGACACCCCCTGAGAATGGTTTCCAAATTCACAGGAGGGAAGAAAACTGATGATTTCTGCAAAGATACCTGCAAAATAGTATCAGGAGGGCTGGCAGTCCAGAAGAAGCGTAAAATCCTCCAGAGAGAACTGTCTTTGCAGTCGTAGGTCTGAGAAGTTCTTTGTGTGTCAATGGTGGCTCCTGTAAGGAAGGGAGGGCAAATGGCTGCAAGGCTGGCAGGGCTTGGTGCTCAGACACCATTTCTGATGCCACTGGCCAGCTCCATGTCCACCTGTCCTGTCTGCAGCACCCTGTCCTGGGGAGGCCCAGCTGCAAAGGGCAATGACAGCAGCCACGTGCCTGGTGACTGCCTCTTCCACAGGGCTAGGAGTGCTGGGCTGAAGAGAAGGACAAGCCAGCCATTCCTTCTCCAGATGCTGTGGAGAGGAAGAGAGCCCCTCCATCCATGCAGGAACGTTGTAATTTCTGTGCCATCTCCACAGGAAGATGTCTGGGGGCAACCCCAGTCATCCTTGTGGAGACTGTGGACAGGACACAGACAAGCACAAGGCAAGGGGACCGGGCTGCTTGTGTCCTTACCAGAGCTCTTAAGGGCCCAGTCTGTCATGACACAGGATTCCAAAGCCATCTGGGTCAGTTCCTGGGACCATGAGCAAACAGGAAAGGGCCACATCAGTGGCTGGTTCAGCACGCTGCCATCACCCACAGAGGCAGAGCTCGGTGTCAGCCACACATGGAGAGCCATGCCCACAGAGCTGGGAAACTGCTGCTGACAGAGGACTGAGGAACAGTGTTTGTGGCCACAACGTTCTGACCCCACCAACAATACCAAGGAGAATTTTCTTGGGGGTTCTGCCCAGCCAGGCCTCTTTCCCCAAAATAGCAGGGTCACCTTCAAACTACTAATCTCTGCCCTCAGTTGAGTGACCTCTCCCAGCAGATTCTGCAGCTCTTGGGTTTCAATCAAAGTGTGTGAATTCCTGCAGGAACAGAAAAGCAGATCTTGTCAAAGCAGCCCATTCCTTCTGTGAAACACCTGGGCTCTAAAGAGACACACGTGCTTCCCCTGCTTTGCCAGTGCTTCTTTCCAGCCCAAGCTGAACAAAAGGCAAAGGCAGGACAGAATCACAGGAGCCTTTGCTGTTTGGAAACAGAGCACAGGTAGCACAAGCTCAGCTGACACTTCTGCACAGACACAGTTCCAGTACAGGAAATCTCTTACCAGAGAGGTTTCAGTCCTGCTGGAAATACACTTGGCAGCTCCTGGAAGTGAAAATTCTGGATTAGAACATCTACTGCCAGAGCCACCGTGGCTTCCCAGGGAAGATTACACAATTTGCTTCTTCTTTGGGTCATGTTGTGTAGAAGCAGAAGAGCCTCGGGTTTATGCAGCCACTGTCAGCAACACTCCCTTGTAGGAGGTGCCTGTCCCAGGACAGTCACTAACCTCCACGAGTCCCTTTGTCCATCCTGACAGGGCAGTCCCGCAGAAAACAACAGCTGCAATCACATCACCGACACAGTTACTGGACTGGGCTTTGCAGCACACCCTGAGGGCCCATTGTGTGCTCCCTGCTGCCCTGGGGTGTGGAATGTGGGGTGCAGAGAAAGGATTCTCCTCTGATTGAGGGCCATCAGCTGCAGGGGACATCCCAGCATGGTCTGCGGCTGTGCTTGTTGTCCCAGTCCTACTCCCTGTTTGCCCTCACTTCGGTCAGCAGCAAGACCAGGCTGGGAGAGGAATCTCCCCACTCCCTCCCCTTGCACAGCCCCTCTCTCTGGGCATCCCCAGTTCAGCTTTGGAAATACCTATGCCCTTCTCTCTCTCTTGCAGCAAGCCATTCAGTCCAGTGGCCAGAGCAGTAGCTTGGCTGTGAGACTACCTGGGAGCCTTACTGGTGGTCCAACAGCCAGTCCCAGTCAGGAGAACACTCAGGGAGCCCTTGGGGCCACAGGAGTTAACACACATCATGTCCCCGAAGGAAAGCTGGTATCCAGCACAGCCAGGCTGTCACTCTCACTTGTTTGCTCATGAAAACTCACCAAGAGCCACTGAGATCAACAAGGTGAAAACTTTAAAGCTCAGCAGCAGCAGCATCTTTTGCCTGAAAGAGAGGGAGTCCTGGGGCTGTCAGTTACCCAAGCCTTACACAAACCCCTTCACAGCAAGGAAGCGCTGGAGCTTTGCCTGACTTTGATCCCAGAGCTTTCCCAATCTGCACAGTCTCTTGCCAAAGCTGGGGAAAACCCTTCCCCTGCAGAGGCTTGGCTCTGCCCTGAGTGCTTGGCTACGCAGCAGTTTGTCCTTCTGCAGCCAAAGCTGGAAGCTGTGGCTCTGCTGTGCCAGTGACACTGCCAAGGGGCTTTGCTCTTGTCTCTGCCTGAGATTGGCCAAAGCACAAGCAGTGCTCAAGCTTCATCATCCAGCTGGGAGCCCTGGGCTGTTGGTTAGGGAACACACTCTGCTCTCCCTTTTGCTTGCACTGGGCCTCAGACATTCCCATCCTGCCCCTGTCCACAGTAGAAAGCACACACAGTAGTGTGTACTCTGTGAGGATGGCAGGGGCTCAGAAAATTCCTCCCCGGGCAGACAAAGGCACCTGCCAGTTGCCAAATGAGCCTGAAGAACATCCCTTGGAAAAGAAACCAGAGAAAAGTTATGCCTGTCTATCGAGTCTCTCCTCCAGCTGGGAACCCATCCCCAGAGAAAGGAGACTTCACACATCACAGGACAGGTCTTCAGAAACCTGTCAGCTTCCCCATGCTGCTCCAAGCCCACATTCCAATCCCACATTCCAATCCCACATTCCAATCCCACACTGGGCAGGAGCAGCCACTTCATACCAGCTCACAGGGCAGTTGCTGAGCTCCACAGTCACCTCTCCCAGTGGTTTGGAAGATTCATCATGGCCTGTCTGGGGAGCCTTTTTCTTCCCCATCCCTCTGTGCTCAGCTCTGCCTCCTGAGCTGCAGGAGATGGTGTCTGCCCAGTGTGACAGCCACTCTGGGTTCTGTCCTTGTGCCACAGGACACAGTTGTTCTGACCTCACAGCTGTGGTGGCTCTGCTTTCACAATTGGGGTGCCCGGGGTGACAGCCACATGGTAACCGTGCATCTGCTCATCCCTGTTTTGGTTTGAGAAAGGCAGTGCTGGGAGTGCCCCAAGGTTGGATGGTTGGTCCCACCACCTAAACTAGTAAGTTATATATAAGCAAGCACAGGATGCTTGCAGAGGGAATCATGGAATCATCATGCAGTTGCAGGATGGTTTGGATTGGAAGGATGCTGCAAGGGTGCACATGTCTGAACTCTGGGGGTTATTAGGACTCAGCCTCAGCAGCACCAGCACTGCTGGGCACTTGTTCCAGGGCTGGCACATGAAGGGAGGCTGTCCCTGAGGGCATGGGCTGGGTCCTGTTCACCTTATAGTGATGGAACCACACCCCCTGGAATGTGTGAAGTCCAGTTTCTCACAGCTTTGTGTGTGAAGACACCCAAGACAGACTTTTGATGGCCAGTGACTAACTCAGAGGTGATTTTCTGGTTAGAGCAACCATACCTTTCCTGTCAGATTTTGTTATCTATAAAAGTTTATTGCTGTTGCCTTTGCTGGCCAGAAGTATTAACTTGAGCTTGTTTTCTCTACCCAATTGTTTTCACTACACTCCCAGGTCATGGGAAATTTATTATCTCCAGGACTTGTATCTACTGCCAAACTGGGTCTGATCATAGTGCTGAAATAATTACCAGAGTGGATGCACATACAGTGCCATTACATTCACCTTGTTTCCTGACACAATAAAACATCCTTAACATCTCATTTCTTCTCCTTTTCCTCTTCCCAGCTTACCCTCAGTTGCACTGAGTGGTTTTTCCCTTCTGGTTTATAGCCTGGGCAATACCACCCTGCTCAGACCTGGTGTTGAGTGCAATATCCCATTTGTTCTCCAAGAAAAGGGAGTCACAAGGACACAGCTTCTGTTGTCTCCTTTTCCCCTGCAAGTTACTGTAACCTGCTCTAAAAGGGGTTGTGTTGATGGAGGCAAAGACAGCCCCCGGTACCCTCAGCACCGACTGATGCTCACGTGGTGCTGCTGTAAGGGAATCCACAAAGGCCTGAAGGGCAAGCAAAGATGTGCAGGAGGGCAAGCAAAGATGTGCAGGAGGGCAAGCTGGCAAGAAAGGAGCTCCCTTCACCCAGCTTCAGGCCTCCTGCTGATAAACCTGGGGTGAGAAAGTGAGAGGACCAGGCTTTGCCAAACACAACCACAGCAGCTGGAACAGACCCATCTGGCCTTTCTGATGAGGCATGCAACAAAATATGCTCATGTATGCACCATGGTCTGAAGAAACGACCAAAAATCCAGGTGGGAGAACCCAAGTCCTTTGCCTAAAGCCAGTAAGAGCTGTCACTTCTGCCTATCTGCTTAGTAACTGCAGCTGCTGCTTGGAAACCAGTGTGGCAGGGCATCCCCCACCACAGAAGAGCTGATGTGTTCTGTCAGGACATCCCCCACCACAGAAGAGCTGATGTGTTCCAGCAGGACATCCCCCACCACAGAAGAGCTGATCAGTTCCAGCAGGGCATCCCCCACCACAGAAGAGCTGATGTGTTCTGTCAGGACATCCCCCACCACAGAAGAGCTGATCTGTTCCAGCAGGACATCCCCCACCACAGAAGAGCTGATGTGTTCTGTCAGGACATCCCCCACCACAGAAGAGCTGATGTGTTCCAGCAGGACATCCCCCATCACAGAAGGGCTGATGTGTTGTGTCCATCAGCTGGTGCCATGGCTCTGGGCACTGTCACCTCTCACATGAGCTGCTGGGGTGACCCAGGCTGGCTGGCTGAGCAGTGAGCTGTCTCTGCCCAGTGAGTTCTCTCTCTCTCTCTCTCTCTCTCTCTGGCACCAGGGCTGGAACTCCCAGCTGACAATGAACAACCAGCCTTAAAAACAAGATGTGGGGATATGAGCTGGAATTTCTGACTGACAGACACTTCACTTTATAAACTAGAAAAGCTACACAAACTTTCATGGAGGCAGAAATCTCCTAGACATTGGAAATGTGTAGACTGCTCCCCAGAGTTTGGATGCAAATTCCAGATATTTTCCTGGGAATTGAGTGAAAGGACCTTATGTGTACTCCATCATCAATTCAATGCTAAGTGACATTGACTTCTAATCTGTACTATTTCTTTACTAGCTGTAATATAGTACTAGTAGCTGTTTTTGTTTCATCCTGTGTAATAAGCAGTCTGTTTAAAGTCCTAGGTCTGTTATTCTTGTGTCTATTCAATAAAGAATTCATTTTGTAATAGACCTAATTGGCCATTCTTAAGAATTTGCAAATGAGAGACATTTGGGGTACAGGCCACCTCAAACAGAGCTACTGCCAGAAATCTGAGTCAAAGGCAGCACTTGTCTAAGCTCTCATCTCCATTCCTAGCAATTATATGTGCTGACAAATAATGTGCTGACGCTGAATTTTGTAATTAGAAGAAAACTCTCCTGTTTATTAAAAACAAGTTGCAAATATAGGAACATAACCAGTGACAGAGAGAGATGGCAACTGAGGCCCCAAGGCAGTTTTATAAACATTCCTGTGGTGCCTCTTATGGATCCACTTGACCCTCAGCTGTATTTTGGATCAGGCCAGCTATGGAGCAACAGACCCTGCACCCTGTGGTGGATCAGCAAGCTGGAAAGTTCCTGGCTTAGGTACAGGGAAGTGATTATGTTCACACCATGTGGTGGACCTGTGAGCTGGAAAGCGCCTGGCTTATGTACAAGGAAGTGAAGGTGCCTTGGAAAAATATATTTAAAGGCGGTTTCAAAGCCCAAAAGTAGAAAATAACTAAAGTAAAGAAGATAACAGAGCTAAAACAAAGACATCTGTATTCACTAAACTACTGACGAGTAGGCAACTGCTTTACTCTATAAATATTACCATCAGGATAAGCCAAATTTGGGCTGTCCCTGAGTGGCAGCTGGACTGCATAGCAGGGACACTCCCCTTGACCTGGGGCACCACTCAGGGTTTCAGATCCCTTACCTGAAATTAGGAGGCCCTTCCATGCCCAAGGCAGGGAGATTTCTTAGTTGCAACAGATCCTCAGTAAGTGACTGATGGCATGCTGAATTAATAAAAAATCCATGTAGCTGTTCAGTATCAACTATTTTAAACTGTATAGATAATTCCATTAAACACAAACCACTGTCAAAATCTGAGGTTAAGATTAGACCTAGCTGAATCTAGGCTTTGTGAGGAGGTTAGAAAGCAAAGGGGGTCCACTCTGAACCTCACTGCGAGGGTCTTCCTTACCCTGGCAAACCTTCCATGGCAAGCTGGTCCCTTGTGCTTCCCTTTCTTCTTCTCCTTCCTCAGCTTTGGCAGCTGAAGAACATAAATGAGGACCCCAGAATGGTTTGGGTTGGAAGAGACCAACCAAAACTGGAGATTTTGGAGAACTGGGAGACCATCCAGTTCCACCCCTGCCATGGCAGGGACATTTCCACTGTCCCAGGCTGCTCCAAGCCCTGTCCAGCCTGGCCTTGGGCACTTCCAGGGATGGGGCAGCCACAGCTGCTCTGGGCACCAGTGCCAGGGCATCCCACCTTCACAGGGAGGAATTTCTTACTAGTATCCAACCTAAATCTATCATCTTTCAGCTTAAAGCCATTCCCCCTTGTCCAGTCAGCCCAGGCCCTTGTCCAAAGCTCCTCTCCAGCTCTCTTGTAGGCCTCCTCCTAACAGTGTTCTTGGTCATCTCAGCTTTCTCCCTTTCAGATAAGGAGTTTGTCTTTACAAGATAAGCATGGCTTATAAGCAAATATTGAACCTGCCATTTTAAAGATAAGAATTTATAGGGAGGGGGGAAATGACAGCTAAATGGAAAGTAAAACTTTAATTTAGTGCTTAAACAACTTGAGTCCTTATGCTGCACCTGTAGCAGAGGGCTGACACGATTATGATGAACCCAAAAATCCTTCTGCTGAGCTTTGAAATCGAGAGATAACTTCATCTGAAGGAAGACAAAAATCTATAAATGCAAGCATTGCCATATGCTTATAGCACCTTCTCAGCACAAAGTTTCTCTTATGGCACCGAGAATTTGCTGGTATGGAAAATTCCACATTTTAAGTGCTATTTTAAAGTAACTTACTTTAACTGAATCAACAGCACTGAGAAAACAGTCAACAATTTGATTTGCAGGGTGGGATATGATTAATGACTTTCTCAACAGCTTTTACTCTGGCTGAAGTTTACACCTCTTTGGGAACAACACACTCGGATAGTATTGGGCTGGTCAGACACCCAGCTGGCTTGGCCTGCAGTTCTTCAGTCAGAGGAGAGAAAGAACTGAGCAAAAACTGAGCAGAAGAAGGCCAGCAGGTGTAAATTCAGCAGTTCCAGCTGCCTTTCACCTCAGTGCAGAATTAGGCTTCTACCAAAAAAACCACAAAAACCCACATATATATATATATATACACACAATGTATATTTATATTTATATTTATATTTATATTTATATTTATATTTATATTTATATTTATATTTATATTTATATTTATTTATATATATATTCATATTTATAATATTATAATTATAATATCATAGTTATTATAGTTATAATATTATACTTATAGTTATAATATTATAATTATAATATTATAATTATAATATTCTATTTATACTTATATTTATATTATTCTAATTATAATATTCTAATTATAATATTATAATTATAATATTCTGTATATATTTCTATTTATGTTTATATTTATGTTTATAATATATATTTTACATTTATATTTATAATATTATATATTATATTATGAATATTATAAATATTATATTATAGATATTATAAATATTATAATATTATAAATATTATATTTATATATATATATGTATAATTTACATCTCTATCAGGATACTGGCTATTCTAAGAAATTTTTTTCCTACTCTTTGCTTCTCTTTGGCCCAGATGTTTTTTTTCCCTGCTGCAGAAAGAGGGAGGTATTGAGAATCTCACACGATTGCAGAGGAAAGCTGTTGCCCTCAGCTGTGCAGCTGGGAGGGAGATGCTGCAATGTTCACCTGTTCCTCACACCCCAACACATCCCAGCTCAGCCATGCCAGGACAAAAACATTTTCCAGTAAAGCTTCTCCTCTGTGTCATAACTACACAGCACCAATACCTAAATAAAGGAATTTATTTCACTGCTCCCCCAGAGCCAGGAGGGAAGTCACTGCCAGAATTTTCATAGCACTAAACAGACAAAAGAGAATATAAGCCCTTTTATCCCTTTTTATTCCTCCACACTTGTTCCACGAAATCTTTTTTCCACTCCAGCTCAACATCTCTTTAAAGCAGAAAAATCCTGTCTGCCACACACTTGTCATAAACCAGGAAGGCTGTGACTTGAGTTTCAAATCCATCTCTATTTATTAAATGACAAACTTTAAAATGCAAAATCAAAAGGAAAAAAAGTGTGTTAGTGAAGTAAATTATTCTCTGTCTTGGCTGCTAGATTTTTGAGCTGCCTGTGTTTAGTGTTAATGTCTCTGTATTTCCAGGTCTTGATTGCAACAGCTCTGCTAATTGTGGATATCAGTGAGAGATGATGTGACTTTCACCAGCTCAGGTGCTCCACCTACACTTAGTCACAGTCAAAGATGTGTTTTGCTATTTTTTAAAATGTTTAAAAGGTTTGAATCCACCCCTCCAAGCTATAATGGGCAAAAGAGCACATTTGAAGTGAAATTAAATCATGCTTCTCTTGATTTAAATAGAAAAAATTAGCTCTGCTGGTA